GTGGTCTTCAGGAAGCCAAAGGCTTTGCACTTGTTGCCCACGGGCCCTTGCCAAAGCTTGCTTGCCATCGGATTCTCAACGACCAGCAAAATGCCGGCCCGTTGACACCACTCGATGACCTCAGTACACAAGGAATTCAGAGCATCCTGACTTTGTGGTGGTGACATGTGCACAGCTGCAATGTTGTCGCGCTTGAGCATGTCCCACAAGAGAGGATGTTGGCTGGGATCAAGAAGATTCAAAGGCACGACAGAACACTTGGTTCGTCCAGTGACTCGAGCAGAAACCCCAACCGAAGACCCGATCCCTACCTTTTTGACGGCAGCAGCTAGGCCTCCAGTGCCACAGAAGATCTCAAGGAAGAGCATGTCCCCCAAGCATTTGTCATGACAGCGATCTTTCAAGCCTAAGGGAAGACATGAGGGATCGCACGCCAGCGACTTGGCCGGCGGGTCATTGGTGGAGCACTCGGACATCGACGGAAGGACAAAGCCTTGCTCAATCAACTCGGTGCGATCGTCTGGGCAAAGCAAGTGGGAACCCTTAACCGAAAAGGCAACAAGGACTAACCTATCACCGGTCCAGTCAACGGTCTCATGCCTTAGCCGGTATGCATCAAACACGGCATGGGTTCCTGCAACTTCAAGAAGGTCCGCACGAACACCTCCAGTTGCCGTGGATATGACGTGAGACCCCCTGGGATTCTCAACAAGCACCTGCCCGCCTCGAAAATCACTGATGCCAATGATTATGTTTGGCAGCTGCTCGTTGTTGACATCAATGTGCAAGGCCGTTTTGACATTGAAGAAAAGATTCAAGCTGGTGAACGAGTGCGAAGGCGCACACTTCCGAACCATGGCAGTCAGGACCTGACAGGCGCGGGGGAACTTGCGGCTTCCAACTCTGAGGCCTCGCAAAGGACCCTGTGCATACATCCCACAGGAGAAAGTGGCGCCAGCTCCATCCCCGCGTGGGGGGGTCTCATGCGGCAGCATGTTGAACAAAGCACGAATGTCACCTCGGTCTGGAGACTCTCGGACCTTCAGGATTTTGCAAGCGAAATTCTCAGCATCATGGCAGGGATCACGCGCCAGCTCATCGGCGGGCTCCAATCCCCAAAAGGAGACTTCTTCCATAGGGATTCCAGGCAACTCATCAAGAGACTCTGGTTTCTTAATTAGGGCATCCTGCTGGTTTGAACGCAGGGCACCGGCGGGAAAAGGATTAGGGGAAGGGTTGCACGAAGCATCATCGGCATGAACAGTGGATTGCTCAGCCGAACCTGGAAAAATTTTATGGCCCTCACAAAGCTCTGATGCTGATGACAAACCAGAACCAAGGCAGGATGAAGACGCATGTCTGGGATCAACCGGCGCCTCGCCGGTCTGGCACAATCTGATGCACTTCGGTGGACGTGGGCCATCGGATGGCCCACTCGAGAGTCACTCCTTGTTTTCCTTGCATTCCTGCAAGGAGTGATTCTTTCCGCAGCGCATGCAGGCGTGCTTTCCTCTGCGGCAGGATTTCCCTGGTTTCGCGAATTTGCATCCTTTCGCGCAATTGTATGGCCAGCAAAACTTCTCTCCTGACTCGGACACAGTCAGAAGGTTGGGAATCGATTTAAGTTCATCTGGCATTTCGCTCTTCTGAACCTTGGTGGAAGCAGGCGTGGCCTTCTTCTTCTCATCAATCTTTCTCTTCTTGTCATCGTCCTTCTTGGAAGGATCTCGCTGCGGCCTCTCAGGAGCCTTGGTCTCCCGAGCAGGGAGCAAGTGGAAGAGAACAGTCGGGTCCTTATTGAGATCGGCAATTGCTGCATCAAGCGGAAGCGCCCCTGAGGCAGTCCTCCGAAGCGAATGCACACGCTCGGCCAACCTGACCCATGCGATCCGGTCTGCACGCAAGATCTGCTCAATGCTGGGTTTTGCACAGCCTGGTGGCGGCTGCTGCTGCAGCCGCTCCAACATGAAGGAATGCCACTCATGAAGAACCTCGTAACTGCATGCAGACAT